CAAATCAGAATAAAAAAAATTAAGGGAAAAAACTTTCAGAAAAAAATACATGCTACAACATGACTACATTCACAAGATAATGGAAATATCAGGAAAAAAAGACATCTTATTTAACTCCTACTGAGAGAAGAAAATGCTAATGGACTTGTTTTTTAAACTTAGTATAAAACTGGGAACTGAGTTTCAGTTTGCAAATCACACTTTTCCAATTTTAATTCATGAGAAAGCTTGAAAATTGGGAGTTAAAAACAAATAGAATTTAAATTACAGAACTTTATCATGCAAGTCATAGGAGATTCCATGAAGGATTCACTTCAGGTAAAGTTCTCCACCTATTAAAGACCTTTAGAACTATTCTCTATAACTAAAAAGAAAAGTTCAGGATATAATTTCATTTGATAAACCTTTTATAGTGTACAATTTAAAAAAATAAAACAGTACTTTACAACTTAAAGCATTCACAGATATATTATCCTTATTTATTCTAGCATAAAATATTATTTAACAACTCTTAATGACATTCTAATAATAAAAACTCACCACCTAAACCACCAAAAATGAAAAATTATTTCTTAAAACAAATTATCTTCATAGGAAATTTTTCTACTTCTTATTGTTATGTGCTGTCAAGTTGCCTGTGACTCACAGCAATCCTATGTACAACAGCTTTTAACCCTGCTCTATCCTGAACCAACCTTAGGGTCTCTGATACAGCTATTCCCATCACCCCAGTCATTAAGTCAATCCATCTCATCGAGGATCTTCCTTTCTTGTGTTGTGTCTCCACTGTCCCCACCATTATGTCCCTCTCCAAGAACTGGTCCCTCCTTGCAACATGCCCAAAGTATGTCAGACGAAGCTTCAAACTTTGTGCCTCCAAGGAGTAGCCTGGTTTCTCTCTCTCCAGGACTAACTTACTTCCTTATTTACTAGTAAAATAGTGTGCGCTAACAGTGGTTAAGTTGTTATGTTATGGTGCATTGAGTTGAAACTAACTCCAGCGAGTTTTAAGAGGCTGTAAATTGCACAGGAGAAAAGTGCTCATCCTTGTGCTAAAGGACAGCTGGTGGATTTGAACCATGTACTTTCGAAGTGGCAACACAGCTCCTTCCCACTATGACACCAGAGCTCCCTTACACTGAACAGAAAGCATAAGGGCAGTGGATTAATAAAACTGTCTTACCTTCTGATGTTTTCCATCGTTTCCATAAATCTTCTACAGTTATATGTTTATCTTCTCTGTGCAGATGGTTGTGTTTGTTAGAAGCATCTTTATATTTCATATCTTCTCTAATAAACTACAAAAGAAAAAAGCAGTAAGTTATATATACATAAACTCACTCTTTTAGTCCCCATAAAATGAGAAAATAAAATTTTAAATACAACAGATAAGATCTGGGTAACTGGTACATTGTTGGTATTTTGTATTTACATTACTAACACATGTGTATGTGTGCATTTAATGTGTACATTTAGTGTTTTCTACTCTTGATACTTTCAACCACAATACTGACAACAGCAAAAGTATTTCATGTTAATCATTTGCCATACGTTGTTCTAAGTTACATAATACACATTTTTAGGTATCTGTATGCCTGCATACATGCATACCTATAATTACAAAAGCAGTCATTTACCTACCTTCATGACTGTCCGAGAAAATAATGCATCCCTATTTTATAGATTAAAAAATCAAGATCTGCAGAATAATTTGCCAAAGGTTTACAAATAATGAATATGAATGAAGATTCAATCTTAAGTAGGTTTTGCTCAACAGTGTAGTATGTTGCTGTTGTTGTTATTTATTGTTCTGTATTTATTTTGTGCCTCAATATTCATTTACTTGGAAAATATTTGGTAAAAGGGATGTTTCAGAACACGATAAATATTCCAATCTTGTCCCTGCAATTTTATAAAACTGAGGCATTTCTGTATTTTCCTTATTTAAGCTTAAGTGTTAATGCTGTTATTTGCCATCGAGTCATCAGACCTAACTTACAGCTGACTTTTCATTGCCCACCATTGTCCCACAAAGCAGCTGATGGATTCAAACCACGAGTCTCTGGATTAGCAGCACAGCTCCTTAACACTAGGCCACCAGAGCTCCCTAATCTCAAAATTTTTATCATATTTCTAGGTTCTCTCATCTTTCAAGATACTACTTAAAATTCAAAGTGATTCACAAACATGGAGCTACAACAAAAAACCCTGTAAAAAATGTACAGAGGGGAAAGCTTTAGAAATACTTTTCCTAAAGACTAAGCTCCTGAACATCAACTCATTGTCAGAAAGTCCACTGCCTGCTAAGCAAACTAATTTTCGTGGTTTACATACTATTTCTTAGTCCTGTGACTGATAATCTTTTATACTTTACCTCTTGACATTTTCTTATATGAATCCAATTACTACATATAAAAGTATTAGGTTTTAAAACTTATTCATTCATTACTGTATTTCTCATTTTTCTTGGTATCTTTGTTGGCTTCTTATCAGTTACAAAAATAAGAGCAAATGATTCTTTCCCAAATCCACAAGACAGAAATAAAAAAACCTCCCATAACTGCAAGCACCAGACGACTGTTTATGACTTTTTTTTTTATAATATGACTTCTATACCTCGATAACGAACATTATTTTCAGACAACACACAATAAATTTTCCTTTTGGCTAGAGCTATTCCCTACTTAAGCTAACAAAGAAACTCTTAATAACTGTATAATAGTGAATTATCTCACTTTTCTAAGTTTTATCTAAGCTTTACTGATATACTAGAATGAAAATAAAGTTTTAGAATGAATAACACTATTTTAAGCTGTTTGCACAGTTTGGCCCCTGGTTCTAGTTCATGGACAGGAAGTGGGGGTAACTTGATCGAGAGGGATGACCTAGGAGGCTGACTATGACAAGATGGAGAAAAGAGCGGAATTACCAATGATTTCATCTTCCCTAAACCCACAGTAATATCCTTGGTACCATCAGTCATAAGATCAGGAGACACACTGCTTTGGGCAAGTCCATTGTCCAGAATCTCTCCAAAATACAAAAGAGTAATGATGTCAGTTTGAAGAGCAAGGTGCACCTGATGCAGGCCATGGTCTTTTTAAATCACTATTTACTCAACTGAGAGTTGGAGAATGACTAAGATGACAGAAGAACTGACACATTGGAACTGCGGTGCTGGAGAAAAGCACTGAATAACCTATGGATTACCCAGATGAGCAGCCAAGGTGCTCCTTGGAGGCAAGGATGGCAAGCTTCAGCTCACATGTTTTGGGCCTGTTTCAAGGAGATTATATTGTTTAGAAAGTGACACCAAGCTAGGAATTGTATAAAAAGGAGAGGAAGACCCTCAACAAGATGGACTGACAAAGAGACAGTAGCAATGGGCTCAAGTGTGTCAAAGATGATGAGGATGGTATAGGATGGGACAGGGTTCAGGTCTGTTGTTCACAGGGTGGCTATGAGTCGTACTTGACTTGATGGCACCTACCAATAACATAGGTAAGCCTCAATTGACAACACAAATAGAGAAATGTTCAATAAATAAATAATTATTGAACATACTTGTCAAAAGATACAACTGGATGATTCTTTTTTATAAACTCATCTTGTACCATTCAATCTGATTAATATATTTTGTTTCATGAAACTGGTTTTTAATAAACTCTTAAGTTTCTTATGCCTACAACATATACTTTGGATCTGTGCTGTTATTTTCATTTTAGTAAAATTTGGTAGATGTTATTACAGACACATGTGCAGGATCTACTCAGTCGATATCCCTTGAGATCTAAAATTCTAAAAATATCTAAAATTCTACCCTCTCCCATTAGTGATAGATTCCTGAATACCTCAGTCATTCCTGCGTCACTCTGTCACTACCACCACTGACACATTAAAGAATGTGTCAACTATGGGCTATCATCTCACCCCAGTAACAATAGCCAAGTTCAACAGAACAACAAGCAATAAATGCTGGCAAGGTTATGGAGAGATTGGAACCCTTATTCATTCCTGATGAGAGTGTAAAATGGTGCAACCACTATGGAAGACAGTATGGCGAAGTCTCAAAACTTTTGAAATAGAAATACCATTTGACCCAGCAATTCCACAACTACGAATATACCCTAAAGAAACCAGAGCTGCCATTCAAACAGATACATGCACACCCCTATTTATTGCTGCATTATTCACATTAGGAAAGAGATGGGAAACAAGTCACGTGCCCAGCAACAAACCACTACATTGGGACATATGAAGAAAAGAACTGTTTACAAGGAATATATGATTAGACATTGTTTGTATGACAACAGTCTAGAATAAGAGACGCATAGCAAAGTGGAGGAGGAAGAAAATTATGCAACAATGAATGATTTAAAAAAAAAACAAACTGGAAAGGGTAAGGAAGGTGCAACAATGAATGAATAAGAATTCAACTTTCTGGTAAACGCTGATAAAAATCACAATTAAAAAAAAGAATGAAAACCTAACCTAAAAAAAAAAAATATAATCCAGAACCTGTACCAAGATGACGATATTATTTCTCAAAAAAAAAAAAAAATTGTAAGAGTAGTGTGGCTACAACTCTGAATTCACACTGGTACTGGAGGTATCATTTGTACTGGGCCAAGATGGGCCAACTAGTAAATGAGCAGAAATGCAAGATAAGCAGCAAAAATACTACAGAGTTCTTAGAGACTCAGCTAGTCTGAACGAAGATTAAGCCCACTGAGTACTCTGAGGAGATTTGCATTTAAACCGATTTGTAGATTCACCATGGACTTCTGACTGAACAGATTTACATTTGGAAGCATGCAACAATGAACAGACAGGCGGAGTTTGGGCATGTTCCGTAAACAATATTGGCCTAGCCAATGATGGCTGGAGAGGCCTTTACCAGAACCCATGCAGGTAAAAATAAGATGTTGAATGCTGTGAATAAATGTTGTCTGCCACAATCTCTTGACTGGACATGGTTTGTGGATGCAGATGCTAAACATTCTAACTGAAGTTCTCTTCAGAGAACTGGTTTTCTTTTTGGTGCCCTCCAGTTGAGTATGATTTATGTTGTTGTCACTGTCCTTACGTGCCCAAATCTGCTGTTATTTCTATGTGCCATTGACTTGAGTAGGGATCTTAAAGACAACAGATGTGAACCCTTTTCTAACCTGTGCCACCCTCACATTTCTTGACACAAGAGTCCACTGAGGCAGTCACCATGTCAATCCACCTGGTTGAAGGTCTTTCTCTCCTCTGCTGACCCTTCCCAGCATCATGTCCTTCTCCAAGGAATAGCACCTCCTAACAAAATGCCCAAGTAGGTGAGGCGAAGCCTCATTACTCTTGCCTCCAAAGAGCACCCATACGGCACCTTCTCCAAGATATATCAATATCATTTTTGGTGTGGTGTTTTTTTGGGTTTTTTTTTTGGCTGTCCATGGGATGTTCCATGCTCTTCACCAAAACCACAGCTCAAAGATTTCAATTATTTTTCTGTCATCCTTTTTCACTGTCCAGCTCTAAGATGCATAGGTGTCAACTAGGGATCTTATGAACAACTAACCTGAACTCTGTCCTATCCTGTACCATTCTAACAATCAAGCCCAATGCTGCAGTCACTGGTTTGCTACGGATGGGCAAATTAGAAACTGGCTATCCAAAATGAGAGAGACTAAGGCATGAGGCCAGTGTTTGTCTTTCTGGTAGTTCTCTGTCAATGTACTGTTCCAGTCAGTTCTGAATAATCTTCAGCAGGATTTTGCTAGTGTGTGATATTAGAGCTATTGTTAGATAATATCCACACTCTGTATGGTTTGTGTTTTGTTGTTGTTTTTTTTTTTGAGAATGGGAATAAATATGGATCTCTTCCAGTAATTGGCCAGGTAGCTGTCCTCTGGATTTCTTGGTACAACCAACCTGGTGATCACATCCAGGTCAGCATCTGTTTGCTGAAATATGTCAATTAGTCTTCCATCAATTCCTAGAGTTTTATTTTTTGCCAAGTCCTTCAGAGCAGCCTGAACTTCCTCTTTCATCACCACTGCCTCTTGATCGTATGTTCTTTCTTAAAAAGCTTCTGTGCCAGCCAATTCTTTTCAGTACAGTAAGTCTGTACACTCCTTCTATCTTCTTTTAACATTTTCTGGATCATTCCATTTTCTACTCATAGCATCATAGCACTAGACACATTATTGTTTATATCAGATGGATCTTAGCAGAAAGCGAAGAATACCAGAGGGATATCTATCTGTGGTTCAAAGACATTTGACTGTGTGGATCACTACAAATTGTGGTAAAC